GAATAGGTCATAATTGGGTGTAATTCGAGACCACTTTGTTGGGCGAGTTGCTGTGGGATTAACAAACGTCCGCCATCTTGGACGCTAGTAGTGATTTACGTTTTAGGCACTTGAAGTATGGGCGGGAAATTATGATTAATTGTCGGTCTGTAATTACAGGGCCCCGTGTTTAAATACTCAGAGTATTTAAACGAGATGTTTGCTTTCGTGCGTATAAATGTAATTGTGTTTTCGTAATTATAGACTCCGTGTTGGTATGGTTTACGAAGATAGTAGATTAAGGGGTTGCCATGTTGCGTCATTTTTTTTATTACTACTTCATAATATAACAATGCAGAGATATATCGAGTTGTATTCATACCGCCGCGTTTCAACGTGGTCGAAATCTATTCAAATCTATTTCAGGCAGTAATCTCCGTGCTAGAGATTATTTAGATCTCTAACAGTTTTGGATTTATCTTCTTACATCCATCCATTAATCAATATTTATTTACATAGTTTCATACAAGCTTTCGCCTGCGACTCTGTCCGCGTGGAATTAAAAAAAAACAAGTAGCCTATGTTGTCTTCCAGACTATCGTCTACATCTATACCAAATTTCATCGAGATCCGTTCAGCAGTTTAGGCTACAAACTCTAACAAACATCCGTCCGTTTAAACTTTCGCATTTATATTACAAGCTTTCGATTGCGACTCTGTCCGCGTGGAATTAAAAAAAAGCAAGTAGCCTGTGTTCTTACGGACCGTTTAGCAGTTAGGTTACAAATTCTAACAAACATCCATCTAAACTTTCGCATTTATAATATTAGTAATATAAACATTAGTACTTATTATGTTAATAAGTTTGAATATAACCTCAAAAATAATGAAATTAATATCAGGTTCAATTACATAGTTTATTATCAACTCTTATTTATCGTTTATTATGATCCATGACCTAAGTACCGGTTTCAATTTAAAACAGAAGTTATTAAACATGGCGTCAGCGCATCTAATAACGAGATTTTAACAATCTATCTAAAAGCGCTTCACGTTTTAGAATTTATTATTAACTTTATGACAGCGCATTTGTATGTTCATTTTAAATTAGATTCACCTCTTTATGATTATGCTTGAAGCGCTTTATGGGAGACTTTAATTTGATTTGTTAACGGCTTTTATTTTAATTAATAATTTTAACGTATTGACACTTTCTCTACTTAAGTCCTATGTACTTACGGTTTTACGGTATTTTTGCCGTTTGTATTTGGAAGATGCGTCAATAATCTATACTATTATAATAAAGCGTAACAACACACTTCTTTGTTGCCTAAGATGTCAGCAATTGCAGCACATTTTTGAATACTTCTTTTTTTTAATAAAAAGCCCTACACTTACTTCACGCTTTAGGCTATATATTTCCACGCTATTAAACTTAGTTAGTAAACAAATTGGATAAAAACCTTAATGTGGGAAAGAGACCATAAGTTGCTGCCAATATCAAGGAAGCAAGATTGCCACGGATTGTCATCATGTCATTTCATTTTGACATTTGCAATTGATAAATTGACAAATGTTAAAGATAAAATAAAGTTTTTATAATTGCCTGCGGATGAAGCCGCATGGGGACAGCTAGTTAACTAAAATGCCAATATTTTAAAGTACCGATAAATTTTACCGGTTTTTTTCTAGTGATGTGACATGCCATTATTCGTCGTCAACATCTATGTCCGTTGTCTATGATTCGCTATAGATAATATATAATATAATTATCTATTAATGTAGTAATGGATTTATATTCTGTGACACTGGGGTCAGCAGAGATAAGAACATGTTTTGTAGAACCGTTTAGTACTTCTTGTAAATGAATGTATCGAGATAATAAACAAGTAATCTATATTAATATAATAAAGCGTAAACACACTTTGTGGCGTAGACAGCAATCATAGTATATTTTTGAATTTTTTCTTTAACACAAAACCCTGCATTTACGACACGCATCGGCTATTATATTTTCACGCTTTTAAACTTAGCGGATAAATTAATTGGAAAAAAACCTTCATGTGGGAAAGGTACCGTAAACCACAAGCTGCCAACATTAAGGAAGCAACGTTATTATCGTTACAGTAATTGTTGTCATACGTCTAAACCTTCGATGTTGTTTCTACATTTGAATTTTTCACGTGGATGAAGCCGCACGAGAACAGCTAGTAATTAATAAGACTGTCTATTAAAGTATGCTGTCTATTAAAGAGAATGGTGATTTATTTAAAAAGAAAGAGAAAATATAAAGAAAGGGATAGAAAATCCTCATCGTCAAATTATCTTGCATCAAAGGCGTGAATATATTTTTACTTGCTTATAAACCATCATTTGCGTAATGCGATGCACGCGAAATACGCATTTGCGTTGACGTATTATTATAATGTCGTTAACAACGATCACTGCTAAATGTTCATATTTATGCGGCCATTTTTTTTAATTAATCGCCGAGGCAGACCGCACGCGTCGAACGCCTTTGCCTTCCGTCGCGGTTGCGATTTTCAAAATGGCGGACATGATTACGCGCCCTTTTCAATCATTTTAGAAATTACTAGCTTACGCCTGAGACTCCGTCCGAGTGGCATTAAAAAAACAAAAGTGAGTAGGCTATATATTTTTCCAGATTATCCTCTACATCTATACCGAATTTCATCGAAATCCGTCCAGCCGTTTGGGTCTACAAACTCTAACAAACATCCATCCATCCATCTAAACTTTCGCATTTATAATATTAGTATAAAACCACAATTTTTAGTGAAGATTTTATTTCATAAATGTACATTAGAAAAGCAGTAGTAAATTTTAAATACGGTATTACAAATTTAAGATTAAAACTTCACTAGCTTTTGCCCCTGACCCCGTTCACATGGAATTAAAAATAGCCGACTATGTATTCTTCCAGACTATCTCCTCGTACATCTATGACAAATTTCATCAAGATCCGTTCAGCAGTTAACCTACAAACATCCATTTAAACAATCGCATTTATAATATTAGTTAGATTAACCGTTATTCATCCAATGATATTTTTTTAAATTCATTACCATACAAATATTCATTTAATAATTAAATAAATGTTTACGTAAACTACGACGCGATATCATTTAACCAATAAAGTAACAGAGTATATTGTAATTGCTTCTATAAGCAATACATTAATTAGCCAGAGACAAGCTTGAAAACAATTGATAACATCTTTATTACGTTATAACGTACAAGAGTACTTAATTGAAACAGAGAAAACGATAATATTGTCTATGTTTTAATTGTTACATGTTCGAACATGAGTACAGGTGTGTCAAATACTAACGTGTAAATGTCATAGAGTATAAAAAAATTCCTTGTGGAATGTAACCATAGAGTAGATAATGATGACCATGTAAAGGAAAAATTTTTTTTATGTTTTAACAAATACTGTAATTTTACTAATATAATAAATGAGAAACTTTAGATGGATGGATGTTTGTTAGAGTTTGTAAACTGCTGAACGGATCTCGATGTAACTTGACATAGATGGAGAGGATAGTCTGGCAGAATACAAAAGCACTTACATTTGTTTTTTTTTTTTAATTTCACGCGGAATGAGTAATAAAATAAAACAAATCACATAAGAACCTTTGCTGTTTACGTTAATTTTTTTTAATATTGGAATTGGCTTATTTAATGTGTATGAAAATGTAGTTTTCTCGTTTTTCAATTTGAAATTATTACTAACTAAACAATTGGTAATGAATTAAAGTGACTACTTCATATTTCTCGTAAGTTCTTGAAACAAGCCTTAACAATGAAGAAGGCTGTTGAGCGACGCTCGTTTAGCGGTAATCTGTGTTTAATTTTAATAGCCCCGCAATGAAAGGATACGTCTTTTAGTTTAAAAAAAAGAATCTCTTTTTAATATGTACAAAAGTAACACTGTAAAAAAATATATGCTATTATAATTCTTATTGTATCTTATTTCATCTGAACAGCGCACGCACTCTTTGTTTAGTCAAATTTTTCGCACTTTGTTTATCGCACAACTGTTTCCGCTTCGATTCCTATAAGTTTATATGGAGGTACACTACTCGATTTTTAGTGCAACTAAATAGTTAAATTGGCTGCAAAACAATCGACAATCGCACACATTTGCGATAGTTTAGTCAACGGTGTGCGCCTGCTCTTAATTCTGAAGTTCAGATATCATGTTCTGTTCTACTTTTCTAGAACATAGATATTTCTTTTTTCTTAAAAGTCAAAAAAGGGGGAGTAATGTATTTTGGTACGCATGTTTTTCAACAATGAAAACTTAGTCTAAATTAAAAATTGACAAACAAGCACGGGGCCACTTTTATACGCTGAAATATTGAAGTGACAGATGCTCGTAGACATCCGAAAAAGTAATATTCCCTACCTATCATCGAAGATGAGGATAATTGCCCTTCCTATATATCCACCTTCGTCAATACTTTCCCTTCCCAACACCAACCTCTGGTTACTATTGTTAACAAATCCTTTCTCATTACAGTTAAGTCAAATGCCTTTAGAATCCTTAACAGTCGAGTTACAAATTCTTCTCCAATACTATTATAGGCCTATTTACAGTGTTAGAGCCCTTTTTAAAATCTTCGCACGAATGTGCCGGTTCGCCCGGTGTAATACGAAGACCACACAGAAAACAGGCGTGAAGTGGAAGCAATTACGCGTTTCGTCTGATGAGTGTGAAGCCGGCGGCCCAATTTTAATCCCTTTCCCTTTCGACCCTTTTCTTAAGATGATGGGAAGGAAAAGTGGATTTGACAGTGGAGGAAACGCATAGGAAGGGGGAATGTCCTCGTTATGTGCGTCTCCTCCTCCGTCAATTAAGGGTTAGGCAACGCATCTGCAATTATGGATGTTTATGGACAGCGGTCGCTTTCCATTCCGGTGGATTCAGGTGGCCGCTTGCTCGTTTGCCACCTTATATTCTAGAAAAAAAAAAATTAACATATCTTTCTTCACAGGTCCAGATATCCCCGGATTCCTGCTGCAGCCGTTTCGTAAGCCGAAACGGATCCGGACGGCGTTCTCTCCATCACAACTTCTGAAATTGGAGCACGCGTTCGAAAAGAACCATTACGTGGTTGGAGCGGAGAGAAAACAGTTGGCACAAGCACTCAGCTTGACGGAGACGCAGGTACGTTGACTAACGCTTTAACCACACATTACGTATTATGTTTTTTTTTTAAAGACAAAGAAAGAAGTTTCAGAGTTTAATAAAGTCAATCCGACTTAAACTTTAAGAAGTATTACCTTCTCAAATGCCATTAAAAAGCTACATTATCACTTATGCCCGGTTGCTGAAATTTCGATATATTTTATAGTTTCAATTAAGTAAAACTCAAGTTACGTTTTTCGGAAACGCAATTTATGAAACAATCGAACTAAAAAACACTAACGAGTGGTTAAATGTCCGTAGGAAACTGGCCATTAGTACCTTTAGCTATGTTTAAGTTTTTTTTTTAATTTCGCGCAGACCGAATCGCTGTCAAAAGCTAGTTTCATAAGTGCTAATAAGTTTCTATAATAGTACCTATTTTCTGTACATTGTAAGTGTTGCAATACTTTTTTTATGTAATTATTCTCTGTTTGAAATTCAATGGTAATTTCATACTTTGGTATTTAGTGAATGCAATAATTAACTTACGCGCCCTTTTTCGTTAATAGATACATTACTATATTAATTAAACCATAACTAGTGATGTTTTTATATCGATTACAACAGGACTTGACACTAACTTGTAATGGTCTTATGTTTAATATGTGCAGTTTTTCTTGTTTTTTTTTATTAGATCGCCAATGTTTTATTTGTTGTTCAGAGAAATGATAATTAGGCTTCTTAATTTTGTGTTAAAAATAATTAACCCATAAATGCACGATTTTTTCTTTTTAAATACCATAAAATGAAACTGGTAGTAAATTAAACATACATTAAGAAAAAAAAAAGAGAAAAAAACGTTTTTACTAAATAGTCTATTGGGTAAGAAAGAAAAGACTCATGTATAAATGCATTATCATGCATTTAAGGGTTAAAAAGGGATTACAATGTAGAGAATTATCATAAAATAACGAAGTACTAACTTGTGCCCGCGACTCCGTCCGCGTGAAATAAACAAAAAACAAAATTAAGTAGCATGTGTGTTCTTCCAAACTATCCTCTACATCTGTACCAAATTTGATCGAAATCAGCCGTTTAGGCTACAAACTCTAATTTCTCAATTAGTGTCATTGAAAATCTTACTAATATTTCAATGCGAAAGTTTAGATGGATGTTTGTTAGTGTTTGTAGCCTAAACTGGATCTCGATGAAATTTGTCATAGATGTAGAACAGTCTAGAAGAACAAATAAGCTACTATTGTATTTTTAATTCCACGCGGACATAGTCGCAGGCAAAAGTAACAATATTTAGCAGGAATGCAATGAAATCTCGAGTAAAAAAAAAGGAAAATGTTTACTACATTTTTCAAATATTTCCCGCCATTCAATTTTCGATCGATAATTTTTTCTCAACCACACCTAATCGTATTTACTTAGCCAGTTAACGACGGCTTAATTAAACGGTATGTTTAAAACATTAGCTGACTTATAAGACGATCGTGTTTTTGCCCAACAGACGTTTTGCTGGTTCAGTCCATAACTGTTTTCACTATAGAAAAGTGTATACTTAACTAATATCTCATTAAAAATATCATATAGCTATGGGATTTCGATTATAATAAAACGTAAACACACACTTCTTTGTTGCCTAAGATGTCAGCAATTACAGCATATTTTTGAATAATTCTTTTTTTAATTAAAAGTCCTACACTTACGTCACGCTTTAGACTATATATTTTCACGTCATTAAACTTAGGGGGGAAATTTTTTGGATAAAAAAACTAATGTGGGAAAGAGACCATAAGTTGCTGCCAACATCAAGGAAGCAATGTTGTCATCATGTCATGTTTTGACATTTGTAATCTGACAAATGTAATAAAATAAAATTTTCACAATTCATGCGGATGAAGCCGCACGGGAAAAGCTAGTTACGTAATAAATGTAAGTCCAACAAAATAAAAACAATTAAAAATGTATATAAAGGTCTCAATAATCGAATTATGAACAGTAAACATTTAACATTAATATCTCGTTTGATACGGACGGACGTACAGGCAGATGCCTGATGCTTGTAATTTAGTTAATAATATAAAATTACTGCTATCGTGTATAACCTGTCTTATACCTTGTTGTGGTTGCGATTGGGAAGAGCGAAAATATATTTAAGTTTCATGGTTCCGTACTTAATAAAATTAAAAATAAATTTATTACTTTCTTTAAATTAAAATTGATCTTATGAGAGCGATTGTCGATTGTTTTACGGCCAATTCAACTTTAGGACAACTAAAATTGAGTATAGTGTAACGATATAAGTTCATAGGAAACAAAGCGCGATAATACAGTTGTGCGATAGTTCAGTCAAAGATGTGAGTGTGCTCTAAATCTTAAAAACATACTTAATCAACGGTGTAATCATTTCGTTAAGAGTAATGTTAGGACTACTACGTGTTAGCTGTTCATATAAAAATTTACTTACATATTTTTTTATATGTCTAGAAAAAAGTTATTAAATAAATTGACACTTATTTAGGCCTTAATTTACAATGTAGTTTAATTGTTGCTTTCCAAATTAAAAAAAAATATTCGAAACCATTTTTGTAAGGATCCCTAAAATTATTGAAAGGTTTTAATAAGGTTGTTAGGGCATGTGAAAAGCTATACTTGTTTTGTGGACTATTGAGTTGATAATTTGTACCCTGTTTGTTGGTGTTAAGTTTTTTCAAGTTACAATAAGCAATGTTGGTATTAACTTGGTGTTTCATCAATAATGACCTATAATACTTGGGTATTCGATTCCAGTTGGATTAGGTTTACACTTGACATACATTTGGATTGTAGCCCTCAATAACTGGACTGGCTTTCAAATGGTATACTGTGAACACTACCTGGGGACAGTAAGTCCATACAATTTATGTCTGACATGGATAATTTAATAAAAAAATCAGTATATTACATAGAAGGTTAACAATAAAATAGATCGTACTAATATTATAAACTAGCTTTAGCCCGCGACTCCATCCGCGCGGAGTTAAATAAAACACAAGCAAGTAGTCCATGCCTAGCACATCTATGCGAAATTTCATTGAGATCAGTTCAGCAGTTTTGACTACAAACTCTAACAGACATCCATCCATCCAAATATCTAAAATTTTAGCATTCAAAATATTAGTAAGATAAAAAAGTTTGGATGGATGTTTGTTAGAGTCTGTAGCCTAAACTGCTGAACGGATATCGATTAAATTTGTCAGAGACGTAGAACAAAGTCTGTTACTTTTTTTTTAAATCCGCAGGGACGGAATCGCGGGCGAAAGCTAATATAAAATAATATAGAAGATACTCTACACTATTGATTCAAATATGTCTATAGATATTGGCGCATGCCCAATGCACCCCCGTCTCCCCTAGGGGCGGGGCTGTGTCAACACTACCCCCTACAGGGGGTGAGATACGCCTCTCATGTCTCCGTATAATACCACCGTATAAAAGATTCCAGCTAAGATGAATCTTAAATTATTATTAACAAGGAAAACTTCAAGTAATTTAAGTTTCCTAATACTTTAGATTAAGTTTAAAAATTCAAATTAAAATCAACTTGAAATAAGTACATTAGAACTTGTCCCATGCAAATTAAGTTAACAATAAAACTAAGGTTGAAATAAAGTTATCAAACGTCAACTTGAACAAGTTATATTTGCTTGTTAAAAAGTATTACAATATGCAAATTATAATTACTGGCATCATTGTGATTTTTTCCATTTTTTTAAAAAGTAAAAACCAAAAATTTATTACGAATAAAAATAACAAGAAAACATAATTTAATTTAATGTTTCTTGATTAATGGAATATTTTATTACTTACTAGCTGTTCCTGTGCGGCTTCATCCGCATGAAATTACGAAAATTTTATTTTATTGTTTACATCTGTCAAATTATCAATTACAAATGTCAAAATAACATGACATGATGACAACCTTACTTCCTTGATGTTGGCAACTTATGATCTCTTTCCCACATTACGGTTTTTATCCAAAACATTTACCTCCTAAGTTTAATGGCGTTAAAATATATAGCATAAAGCGTGACGTAAGTATAGGGCTTTTTATTAAAAAAATAATTATTTAAAAATATGCTGTAATTGCTGACATCTTAGGCAACAAGTGAGTGTTTACGCTTTATTATAATAGTATAGACTGGCAAAAATTAAAAATATATTGAAAGTCTATTATCGTTAAATAACGTATAACCGTTATGTAAAAACGGATATCAGTTATAACAGTTGACAATAAAAAATCCTTTACAATACCGAAATAGGGATGTGTGCTCGTAAACGACCGTCGATTTGCAACGGAAGTCGACCAGCTTCCGGATTTGACAACCCTAACATAGATTGCAATAAAATTTTATGTACTTTACTCTCTATATATTATGTTAATTTATTGATTTTAATTTACCATTAATAATAATGTTATTTTGTAGGCATTTTGTAATTTTAATTGATTATTCGTTGTATGAAAAATATTCAACGGAAATAGGCAAAGGTGCAAGATGCTTACAGCCACTGTATTAAAAAAAAAGATATTTCATTAATGGCTTCTCTTAGCTAATTGTAAATTAATTGTATTAAGCTTCAATAGCCTAATGGTCTGGGGTACGGACTACCGATCTTACGGTCTAGGGTTCGAATCCCGCTATTCGACTATTGTCGTAAACCATATCCTAGCACAAACCTAGAGCTTACTAGGAAGGTTAAAGGAAATATTACTAAATTAACAAAAATCTACTAATATTTTTACACAAAAAATAAAATAAAATGAAATATAATAAATAAATCCAACGTGTAAAATATGTTATGGAAATATCGGATTATGTTACATTATCTGACAGTGACTTCATTTATAAGCTATCTGACCCTCTATCAGCCAGTAGTGGGACAAGCCTTTAATGTTTCAATTTAAAAATAGTGTTACTAAAATTTAATTAAGAAAATCTTAAATTATTTTTTCCTTAAAATGCACATTTTAATGAAAGAAAAAGCATAAT